GCACAGCCGCATTGGGTAGCGATGGCCAGTGCGCCCATTCATGGGATGGCCCCATAAGTCACAGCCTTGTCCCATCAGGGGGCCTGACTGTCCCAAATTCGAGACTGTAGCCAGGAAGTGGGTGTCCACCCACGGTGCCCAGACATCCTGGCTCTGGCAGCCAGGGTTCAGCAAGGGCCTTAAAGCTGCCTTTGTGCCTGAACTGCCAAGGCTAGGGAGGGGGTAAGGATGGAGGCGAGATGAAAATAGGGAGGGAAGGGAAGGGAGGAGTCTGGATCTGCCAAGACAATATATTTGGGAAACTCTAGTTATGTGAAGGTGATCTCACTTTTTCCCTTTACAAAATTGCCTCCACGTGTCCCCAGGCCTGGCAGGAAGCCAGCTACAGTGCACCGTACATCCCAAGGCAGCCAGGGATGGGTAACTGACTGGAGGAAGGCTGAGAAACTTCCCCTCAGGCTTCAGCCCTGATCCCAGCCTAATGGTACCTTAAGATCTGGGTGCTGGGCAGACCCTTGGGAGCTGGAGTAGGGATCCTGCTGGGATGAGTCAGGGGGTTGAGAAACTCAGTCCCTGATTTGGAGGGGCCCATGAACAAAGGAGGAGCCCACAGCAATCCCCTTCCACCTCACGTTTTATGAACAAGGGACATACAGATGTAGGGCGCTGGGAGTCAGCGGGGTCAGATGACACGACACCTTATGCTTGGCAACAAGAGCGCAATCCTGCTGAGTGGTGGAGAGAAGGAAGGAGTGTGAGTGCTCAAGATGGAGCTGAAGCTAGGTGAGGCATTCCAGCGGAGGCAGACCAGCCTACACCAAGACACTGAGCCACACCACAGGGTGCCCAGAACAGCCCTCTTCTCCGCACCTTCAGCCTGGCCCAGGTAGGGCTCCCGTGAGCTGCCCAACCCTGAGGCTGACCTACGGGAAACTCCCCTCTGGAAGTCACAGTCCCTGAGGGCAAAGAGCCATATGATGGAATCCTACCCCATGTTCTCTCACCCCTCCTGGAGCCCTTCCTGCCTTCAGAAGAGCTCCCTGAGCCTGCTGGGCACCAGCTGGGGCTGACGTTGGGGATGGAGGGTGGCTGGCATGTGGGATAAAGGCAAGCTTAAGGAGTGGATGGAGCGCTTGCCTGCTGCTCAGGGGGGCTTTCCGTGAAATATGTGTAGGAAATGAGAAGTGGGGGGCGAGGGAGGTTGCCAAGGGTTGGGGGAGTGGAAAATGAGCTAAAGGAATGAAGAGGCATGGAGCCATAAGGACAGAGCCTCTTCTCCCCAGCACCAGGTTCTGCAAACAGCACGTCGTGCGAATTATCCCACTGCGTCTCATCTGCTGTTTTCGAGTTTTGTGCTCATTTTCCCGCAAGTGATATGGAAATGGCAAGGCTCAGAAACACCACACCTGGGCCAAGGTGACCCAGCTACTAAAGGACAAAGCCCTACAGGGGCCAGCAGATGGTACGGTGGTTAAGATGCTGGATTCTCACATGGCTGACTGTGGTTCAAGCTCCGGATCTGGCAGCTTGAGAACCATGCCAGGCATGTATGTGTGTATGCCTAAAAATCTCACGAAGAGACTAAAGCAGAAGGGACTGTGACATGGCCATCCCCCTTGGGGGTGAGTTTCCACTTTTCCTCTGTCTGTCGCTGTCTCTCTCCAACAAGTGCACACACCCTATGGCAAAACCCTAAAAAATAAGACAAAGCCTGAGTCCTCTGCGTCCGAGGTTCACTCAGTATTTTGACAGTGATCATCACCTACAACCCCTTGTTGGCCCTTCTGGCTCCAGAAGAGACCCCTTGGGCAAGGTCTGCCATTTCCTCTATTTATTCAGGAGAACCAAAGAATGTGTGGTTCAGAATTCCCTAGGCTCATCTTGATCTCTGCTCCAAGCTCAGATGATGTAAGTGGGTGCCGTGAAGATATCTTTGGAATTGAATTGTAAGACCCACGAGCCATCAGTGAACATGGGAGAGGGAAAAGTGATCCAGGGAAGGACCAGCCTGAGCCCGGAGAGGCTCCAGTCTGGCTGGGAAAGGCTTGCTTGGCAGGTTGGTATTCACAGCAGACTGGCACAGCTCTGCCTGGATGGGGAGGAGTCGGGCCTGGTGGGGTCTTGAGAGATGCCTAGGGGTTTGCACGGCAGAGCAGGAAGAACAAAGGGGACAGGAGAGGCTGTGATGCAGAGGCAAGACTTTCATTTGCCAACTTCCTGTTTACCGTCCACCTACCCCATTAAGCTGAAATCACCCCCCACCACCAGAGCAAGGCTGTGTGCTCCTCTTCAGGTTATGTTCAGGGCCTGCCAGGTACCCCCACACATAGCAAGAGCTCGACACAGCGAGTGCTCAATTAACATCGGGGAAGAAGAAAACAGTCGAAGCGGTTTTCACAATAGCCATCTTTTAGGAGCAGAGAGTATTCGCGGAAAAGGAACAGCAAAATAGAGATTAGGGGCTGGTTGGAAAAACTGTGGATCCAAAGGAGGAGCAAGCCCACCTCACCCCTCCCAAGGCCATCTCTGCACGCTGGGCAGGCTGGAGTGATTCATTCTTTCTGGGGCTGAGCTCAATCCTCAGACCCACCTGAATGCCCGCATCATCACACCCAGGTACAGAAAGGTCCTAAGTGCCACCTCCGGGGACAGTCCCCAAGCCAAGGACAATGCCCAGTCAGGACGCTGGCCGCATCCTCCTCTGTCTTCTCTATTTCCTGGGCTGGGGTTTTTTTAACCCACAGCAAAGCCAGCAGGAGATGACTCTGTGGTCTGGCAACTGCGCCCAAGGTCCTGCCTTCTAATCTTCCCTCCTCCGCACACTTCCTCTGTGGCCATGGGCAGCCCCCAGAGCCCTGATCCTGCCTCAGTTTCCTTCTTTTGGAGAGACATCCTACCCCTAAACACGAAGGTCTGACCAGAGGCCTGGTCTAGGGGCCTCAGCCCATCAGTCCAGCCCAGAACAGAGCTAAAAAGAGCATGAAAGAGAGGAACCCCAACTCCCCTCTGCCTGAGTCGCCAGCTGGGGCGTCAAGGCGACTCAGTGTGTGCCCTCGCAGGGAGATCAGAACGGTGAGTCATTTCCTACACTACCAGCTCCGGAAGTAGAGCGGCCCGCTTGGTTCCCAGAATCACGGCAGTGAGGGTGGATGCAGACGGGCTGCTGGGGAAACAAGTGAGTAAATGCCCTTCCCCAAAATAGCTCCGGCCGGACAGAAGCACAAGGACCCGAGACCAAGCCCTGAAATAGCACGCCCTGGGGTAGTCAAGGGTGGCCTGGCCTGGACAGCAGCCAGCAGAGGCCACCTCAAGGGGCAGGGGAAGGTCCCCCTCTTGGGGGCAGATGGTGACACAATTTCTGGTCTCAGGCCCCAGGGTGATTTGGGAACCGACCTGGGAAGCGGTGGGCATGTGGGACCTAAATGCCCAGGACAGACTCAGCGCTGCCCTTGGGGGGCTTCCAGTCTGTCATGGAGGCAGGCCTTAGGAAAGAGTCCTCACGTGAGAAAGCCCACAGGCGGAACTGAGGCTATAGAGGAAGCACATCCAGAGCCACCACAGACAGGAAGGGGCTGAGATGCCCGCCAACCCCACGCAGAGGAAGTGACGCCTAAGTGGAGACTGGAAGGAGAAGCCAGCACCGTGATGCCTGGGGGATCTCCCAATAGAGCGAGCGCCACTGGCAAAGCCCTGCGGCTGCAAAGACAAAGCTGGTTCCAGGAGCCCCAGGAGGTGGCGTTCCTCAGGCCTTTCCCTGTGCCTCATCAGAGGGCTCCAACCAGACTCAAAGAGAAACAAACCCACGTTTGTCGCGTTGAGACAGGTGCCAGCAACTGTGGACAGCAGCCTGCATGACAGAAGCCTGCAAGGGGATACCCACAGTCTCACAAGCCAGGGCACTCAGGGCTCAGAATCAGGGTGACAGGAAGGAGCCAGATGCACTGGGGAAGGTGGCCAGGTGGTGAGACCCACTCCTGAGAAGCGGACACTTCTGAAACACACAAACAGCTTGTAAAAGGGCAGGTTCCTTCACTCTTGAGGCAGGTGAAATCAGGAGAAAATGTTCTGTAAGATTCAACGAATTGGCTTGGGCATTCTGAGCAGGGGGCAGAATGCCAGGAACGAAAGGCAAAGTTATTTGACTGTGAAGTCAGTTTCTTGGGGGTCTATAAACATGTAACGCCTGCCTGCTTCTACTTATTTTTCTTTTGTAGAATTATTTTATTTAATTACCTATTTTTAAAATTTGACCAGAGAGAGAAAATGAGAAAGTAAGCCACACCAGGTCCAGGACTTGAACCACAGTCAGCCATGTGGGAGTCCGGTGCCCTAACCACCACACCTCCTGCTGGCCCGCCTGTCTGCTTTTTAAAAAGTCAATATCCAATGTAGCTGAGTAAGACTTGTATGCTCACGGGCTTCAGGTCGGGAGGCAGCCTTAAGATGAATGGAACACATAGGATCTGCAATCTGTGTGCAGAAAACAATGGCAAAGACAGGGGTGTGGTTGCTGCCAGCACCTGCCAGCAATAGCGCTTACTTCAAGGTGCACTTTTGATAGTTTAAAATTATCTTTCAGAGCCAGCAGGTGGTATAGTGGTTAAGATGCTGGACTCCCACATGGTCAACCAAGGTTCGAGTCCCAGACCGGGCAACTTAAAATTCACATCGGGCATGTGTACCCAAAATCCCAAGAAAAGAAGGAGGAGAAGAGATTGTAGCATAGCCATTTCCATGAGGGGTAGGGGTGACTTCTCACTTTCTGTTTCTCTCTCTCTGTCTCTCTGGCAAGCACATGCACCCTATAGCAAAAATATCTCAAAAAATTATTTTTCAAATAAAATGTATTACTTTTCTGGATGAAAGCTTTAGAAATACATCACTTAAAAGATATTCTCAGACCTGAGTTGATTAGTGACCTGGTGCTGTCTGTGTGTTAAATCTTCAGACCAAGATGTGGAAAGACATGTTATTTTCCAAAAATAGGGAATGATACTCACATCTACTTCTCCTTGATCAATCACATAGAAATTATCTCCTTCATCACCTATAAAGAAAGAAGAAAGGCAACAGATTCAAATGCAAAGTATGGCACATAGACCTTACAGTGTTTTTGTTTTCCTTGCAAGCGACTTTCACAGCACTGTCTTACAGATCATTGGCAAGTAGTACCCTGGGTCCCATCAGTTTTTTTTTTTTTTTTCATGGGGAAGAGCTCTA